GAGTCTATAGTCTTAAGCTAGATATTTTTCACTGTTAATAATTGTGTCATATAGTACAAGGATCAAAACAAGTCATTACAATAGTAATAAAAATGTGTAACATAATTATAAAGAACATATTATATATATTGAAATAAAGTGGTGTGATAAAGTATTAATTATTTATTTTAAATTTATATGAAATTTTTATAATTGTTTATTAGCAATTTTAATATAAGTTTTAAAATTAAATGCTTATAAAATCTTATTAAAATGTGTTGCTTTTTATATTTTTTATATAAAAATTAGGATTAGGGGGCAATTTGTTTTGTCAAATTTAATATCTATTCACTCGATTTTGATACTTTTAAGTTTTGACTTTTGTTATGCATGTCATGTTTTATTTGGTTGAAATCGGTAACAAGGACATGTTACTTAAAGAATATTATCTAAGTTGCCACTAATATGCCAATAGTATCTGGATCTCCAGGAGCAAGCATTCTTCTACTTTAAAATTAATTTTTAACTATCCAGAGCCCAGAGTATTTAATCTTTTGATTTCAATATCATACAATAATTCAATTGTCAAATATTTATGTACCACATCGAGGACGAAGAACCAACTGTTACATGTTAAAATTGTGTATAAAATTGATAGGCTTTTGCGGTAGCAGCAGTGTAAGATGTGACTTAGAGGGCAACCCTGTAGTCCCATATGAAATTTGACATTTTTGTTATCAATTTGACATTCCTGTTATTAGGATAAGTAGAGATTAAGTTCTCAGAATAAAAATTATAAATTAAAACTAGTTTATTTATAAGTTAAAAATATGTTTAAAAAATTATTAATTATCATGTGACACTTTCTACCTTATATTACATTAACTATAGAACAAAAATATTTTAATCCAAATAGCCAAGTTCATGCTTAAATATTTAACCAAATAAAATTCAATATGGTAGAAGATACCACATAACAAACTCCTCATAACAAATTTTCTAACAAAACTTTAAAAAAAAAATAACACATAATTAAGTAATTCAATATCTTGTACTAGAGTAAATGACAATAAAATGAACAACCCTAAAACTATGTCCCGATATCACATATTTTATCAGAGTACTCTCACACAAGAACTAAGTCTCGTAACTACTATCATCAACAACATCCGGATAAGTCTCACTTGCATCAACATAAATAAAAAAAACAACATAAAAATAAGGGAAGTGAGAAACATCTCACTCTAACCCACAATGTAAAATAAGGTCAGATAGCTAAACGCATAGAACACAACAGATATATCCTTATAAGATATATATATATATATATATATATATATATATATATATTCAATTAAATATTCACAATAAGGTATCAATACATTATTCACAATTATATTTCATTCATCTCAATCACTCAATAAATAATGCATTCATACACGAGATGCGATGGACATAGATTATGATTTGCATGCATGCAATGTCAGTCAAAGTATATACAATGTATATATGTAATGATTTGTCGATTTGTGCACTTACGATACATGTCACACAAGATTCAATGTAGTAGCATATGATCAGTGTACATACTCAAACGATTTACCTTTTGCAACAATTTGCCAATTACATACCATTTAAATCATTCAATCATTCACCATAATCTAATCCACATTCACAACAATGGTAATGGTGATGACATTTATTATGACAACCTCTACCCCTCTAGCTAATATTCATCAATAACAATAAAACAATAAAGATTTTGTTTAATAAGAAACTTTAATTATAAATAATGAAAAAAGGTTCATAAAAGCACCCATGGATAGAAGACTCACATTTGCTTTCCAAACTAAACCAAGTTCCAAAGCAAGCTTTAAAACATGAATGACATGAATAATAAAACAAATTAAAATCAAATTGGTTCTTCAAAGGTCATTACAAATTCAAAATAAGCTAACGAAGTTTCCTTGATAAGATGTAATAAAATCAATCTTAACATCATAAAGCAAAGAACTATAACCCAATGTTTCGATATGTCACATCTTATTAAAGCTCCTCCCAAAGAGAACAAGACTAAGTCTCATCACTAATATCATCCCCCTAGTGATCCTCCCCTACAATGGCCTTCAGCCAAACAAAAACAACAATACAAACAAAACGGGAGAGCGTCATATGTCTTACTCTTGCTCTCTCAATGTGAGATAAGGATAGGCAGCTATAAACCAAGCATAAGCAACACATAACAATATATATATATATATATATATATATATATAGAAATTTCATTCATAGGAACAATATAGAATAACTCACATTAACATCACACAAAAATGTACACATATATCCACATTCACATACATAATTATCATATGAAAATGCACTGACTCAACTAACTCTAAATGTATGTAACGTCATTCAAAAACCATGTGTCGCTCGAAGGCTTATAGGGTAGCCTAGGAGGACATGTTGATGACAAACACTCGACCAAGGTGTCCAACACATAAACATTCTTAACTAGGGGGAAGATACACTAGGGCGTGTCTTAGTATCACACAAGATACATTTCATGCACACACTAGACAAAACTAAGGCTTTCAAACCTCTTATGTCCCCAAGGCCATGAATCTCCAAAATCACAAGGGAGCCTTCCCTGTCTTGTATTCCACATTGTTACCTGGTCAGAAAAAACTTTATGCACATGATGCATGTCACGCACAAAACTCAATGTAGTGTCAAGTTCACATAATAACAATGTTCATTTTCAACTTCATCACGACCAAGCACATATGGCCAAACTTTCAACATTCATAAGATACACACATAAGCACTACATCAGTGTTAAGGATCATATTCCTAACTAGGCACTAAATACATCACTTAACTATTTGCACACTACCATTAAATGCCAATGATCATATTCCTAATCTAAATGCTAGCAAAAGTACCTCGGTGAGACTCATCTAACACTTGACACTAGACCCACAAAGAGTACATGTTGCCCTCTAAAGGTCCCATGATCGACGTGTCTATGTTCACGCTTGACGAATTAACCATAGAGCTTTTAGAGCTTGCACACTTAGCATGATCGCCACCATGCCTAACACACAAGCCATAAAGGACAACCTATGCTTTCTACAACAACTAAGTCCAGAGCCACCCAACTGTTACTCGACATGATGTCAATTTTCATACACCTACAAGATGTGCGAAAATCACAAAAGTTTGAATTCTCAATTCTATAATCTATTTCAATCTATTAAATTCACAATAAAAGTCTTATATTACTTGGTTATACCTTCAATTACTCGGTTTACACATCAATTTTACAAATATCATCCAATTACATTGATCGTCATCTTGCTATATAATTTAGGATTTCCTACATGAATACAAGGGTTTCTCATAGATTCACAATTTTCATCAATAATCATCAAATGCACCATACATAACACGAGTCACATTAATAGAAACAACAAGGAAGCATACATATATAATATGAAATATTTCATGAAACGCAGTCAAACAAAGTGGATTCCCAAAATCCCCCTACAATACACCAAAATGCATACAACAAGATTGTGGTCAATCCCATTACCCAATAGTTACCTCACATCCAAAGCAAGATAACTCACTCTCACTTACCTCAAAAGACACTTGACGATGAATGTGAATCTTTAAGTGATCTCCTACAACTTTCAATTCTTCGAACTGTTCTAAGTTAAGAGCAAAAACGGAAAAGCATAAAAATAAAAAAGCATAAAAATAAAACTGTAGTTTAAATCTCTTCTAATAACTTCTAACTCACATTTAATCCTTGGGTTATAAAACTTAGTGCAAGTCAAACATACATCCATTCCTCCTTATTAATTAAAACAAAAATTAATAAAACAATATAACTCCAAAAAATAACTTATATAACTAATACTGTATTTTTCACAAAGCTTTCTTTTATTAAATAAAAACTAAATTATTTTAAAGGCCTAACTCATTTTATAAATCATATTTAATTAATTAAAAAGACATATTTTACTTTAAAAAAAAAGGTGTTCCATTTATAATAATAGTAATAACAATAATAATAATAATAGAAAAAAATGTAATAACAATGATATGTAATAATTTTATTTGTAATTTTTTTTAATTTAAGTTGTTTATTTTAATTTAAGGGTTGAGATTAAATATTTTATTTTTACATTATCATATTATATGCTACATAGAGTGAGGCTAAATATTTTAATAGGGGAGGATCCTGTTCTGGGAAAAAAAATTATGAATTTATTTTTTACTAAATCACAAAATTAATAGGTTATTTCGTCGCTACAATGCTAAATTTGTCCATGTGTAGTTAAATTTATATCTTACTCTTTTATAGCATAAGTCTTCAATGTAATTAGCTAAGGGGAGAAACCATTAACTAACCATTCTTTATTTCCTGTATAAATTTTTAAGAATATAAAATAAATTGTAAAAAAAAAATGGTAGTTTTGGAATTAAAAAGTGATAACAGTTTCTCTATTTCATTTCTCCTGTTTAAAGGAATATGCTTATTTTCCTATACTGCACTTGATTCCTCCAATTCCACCCAAGAAGCTGCGAGGTAGTTGCTTGTGCCACCACGCTCCGGGTCGGTGCTACCTCACGGTTACGTGTCCAAATCCAATTGGATACGCGCCCAAACAAAGCAAAGATGTCGGGTCCGAATGTCACTATATCTTTCTCTCTCCTTCTAAACAAAAATAAAAATCTCATAATAGAAGCTAAGCTACATAATACGATTCATTCCTTATCTTCGCAAAAAAGAAAAAGAAAAAAACAAACAAACAACAAACAACAAACAACATAACTTACCCGGAGCCAACCCAGAGAAAGATACTTAAGCATGACTTATTAGCACCTTTATAAAAGCATAATTATAAAATAAATCAAAATTATAACTAACCGTAATTATAAAAAGCCAATGAGTGAGGGCCACGTAGCAGTAACGGCGAAGGCAGGATCAAGGAAAACCAATACGCCTCCTCTCTCTTGAAACTTGAAAGCAATCCACGCCGTTGCCACACCCGTCACTCCAACGCTCTCTCAGCAGACGCGTGTCGTTTGGGCTGAAACGGCGTCGTTTCGAGGAAGTGATTTTTTTGCAGTGCGCGATTAGATCACCACCTGGGAACTGGGAAGGGAAGGGAAACGGAACCGTAAAAAAGGAGCTGCCAATTTCACGTTCTCATTCTCCACATTAAAATCCTCATTCCCTAATCAAGTTTCTCGTGACCCTCCCTGCCCCTCATCATCATCATCGTCGTCGTGCCCTAATCGATTCTCACCTTGCGGGTGGTGATGATGGGGCTCAAACTGCTTCTCTAAAACGTTGCCACCGACCATTCATAAACAAAACAAATTCCTTTTTTGCTTGGTGGGTTTTCGTGTGCCCTATAAATTTGGTTTCTTTTTAGCATTTTCCCATGACGTATTACGAGAATGACGGTGGTCGGCGAGAGGAGGTGGTGCCGGATGTCTCCCTTTCAATCCAGCCCGAAGATAACAATGGGGATTATGTCAAATTGAGGGCCAGCCCCGGCGACGGTTCTCCGCCGGGTGAGGCGGTGGAGTCTCCTGCACCGACGAGAGGAGCCGTCGTGTGGTATTGGGTGAAATTGGTGGTGTTGTTTTTATGCTTGGGGTTCTTAGCTGTGATTGTGCTCGTCTGGGTCGGACCCTATTTTATGGACAAGGTTTGTGCTTTTCCCCCCCACTAGCTATTACTGGATTTGGGGTTTTGTTCCCTATAAAGTTTTGATTTTGAAGTGAAAATGAAGCGTAGGATTGCTCAATTGTGCACTCTTTATGCCGCAGAGTGCAGGATAATGTGTTTTGCATTATCTTTTTGTTGCCTTTAACATGATACATACATTGTAATGTTTCTGAATTATAGTGGATACTTCAATTTTTTTGTTTATTTGTGTTTTGCAGGAGGTTATTCCGATATTAAATTGGGAGACAAGGACTTTCAGCACTCCTGTGCTATCTGTTTTGGTGTTTGCTTCTGTTGCATTATTCCCAACCCTACTGTTGCCATCTACACCTTCCATGTGGGTGGCTGGAATGACATTTGGTTATGGCTTTGGGTTCTTGCTAATTATATCCGCAGCATCTATTGGTGTATCGCTCCCTTTCATCATCGGCAAAACCTTCCACCATAAAATTGAGGTACATGCTTTGTCTTGAAGCAGAGTTGGTTATTGGTTTCTGTGTGCAGGCGTTTGCTTCGCCTTTACTTATATTAATCTAATGTTTCATGAATCCGTGTAGGGTTGGTTGGAGAAGTATCCAAAGAAAGCTTCTATTCTAAGATCTGCTGGTGCAGGGAACTGGTTTCATCAGTTCCGGGCAGTTGCCTTAATCAGGATTTCCCCATTTCCATACTTAATCTACAACTACTGTGCTGTGGCAACAAATGTTAAGTATGGGCCTTATATAGTGGGATCCTTGGTAGGAATGGTGCCAGAAATATTTGTTGCAATCTATACGTAGGGTTTCTCTCTCCCTCCCATTCACTCTTTTTTAGTTGTATTAGGAAATCGTGTGTTTAAATAAATTGGCTATATACATGCTTCGGTGGATTCTCTCCTGAATATCTAATATTTGCATTTGAAATATGTTATGTATATCTAAGAATAATGTCAGGTGACCACTTGTCATGTTTTCATGTTTCCTCTTGTTGCAATATGTTTCCTTCCTGTTTTTTCATAATGAAATAGATCTGAAGTTGATTTGTGAGCTGATGAATCTTTGTTATATTGGTGGAAATGAGATATGCCTTCAAAATTCATTTCCATTTTTGTGGGTAGTTTTTCTTGCCTTTGTATTTTTTAAGTTCTGGTTGTATTTAGCATTATAATTTCTTTATGTATACTTCCAACCAAACTTAAGGATTTGTTTATGGTCATCAAAGTTTGACAGAACTGCAATCTTTAATATTTTGCATCTTCATATTGTGTCCTCAAAATCTGATTTTCCTTGAATTTGACCATGGAGAACATGTTGGGTTGGAGAATTGGTAATTTATCTATCAAGTAGATTATTGTTATTTTTGGAGCATTTGAATGCTTATTTCACACTTGTTTCCCTCATTTAGATCTTAATTAGGAATGCTATCTATCATGTGAGATTTATATCACAAATTGTTCTATGACTTTATATAGAAGTAAGAGATTTAACTATTTCCGTGCATGACACATGTGGCTTCTTAAATAATAAATTCATTAATATAAAAACCAAAAATGGTTATGGTTTCTTAAGAAGTAAGAGATTTATATCACATGTGGCATTTTTGTCTGCAAAATGGTTATGGTTGCCTAATTATGGGACTAAATACAAAAATGTCTGATTGCATACCGATAGAAACTCTGAATCCCAACTGGTTGCACAAACCAAAACTTAAAACTTTTATATTTGGTTGTTTTCCCTTGTCTAATACCATCTATCACTGTGTTTGTTACCTATGCTACTATAGTTTCAATGTAGCTCTTGCTCAAGAAAGTGAAACCATAACTACAATACCATTGAAAAAGTCATCAATTTATTTAGCACTGCAGAGTTGTTATTGAATGTCACTGAGATTTTTTCCGTTTTGTTATCAATTCATCATGTTTAGATGCGGGTGGTGGTTGTAAGGAAATCAAATATAAGTGCAGCATAGATTGTTTGATTCTCACTAGCCAAATTCGCAAGTTCTAATCAACTGAGGGTTGTTCAAGTGGTAGGATAAGATTGAAAAATATTGAGAAAAACGTCTAGGCACTAGTGTTTGATCTCTACCTGTGGTTGTTCATAAATAAGTCATCTATAAGTTCACTGAAAACTTGCCTTTCAATGTTATATTCTTGAAAATTTTTCCTGCAAAAGCATTTTAGCTAATAATGGTGGTGACTTTGCCATTAGTTGGTGCTTTTTTTGTTTTCATCCTTGCATTTGACATGTATTTTTATGGTACACGTACACCTGTAATCCCTTATTTCAAGTTACCTATTACAACTGTTGACTGGTTATAAAAATAGAAACTAATGCAGCAAACTATCTGGACCCTCTTGAACTCATTGTCTATTTGGCTATTTATTTGTACAGGGGAATTTTGATTCGGACATTGGCTGATGCTTCACATGAAAAACATTCTCTATCGGCCCCACAAATTATTCTCAATGCGGCAGGCTTCTGCTTAACTGTGGCAACGACCATCTTGGTCACAGCCTATGCTAGGAGACGGCTTGATGAGTTACAAAGGGAAGAGGAGCCATTGTTGCAGTAGTCCAGAAGTTTTAGTCTGGCTTTGTTGTTTCCTTATATGAAGCAGTCCCTACTATGGGAGAGGTTTTATGAGGTAACATTATCCATTCGGGGAGTTGACCGTCAAATGTATTATAACTAGTGTGAAGGGTTGACCAAGGATATTGGAGGAACAAGCTAACATGACCGACACCCATTTTAGTTCAACATTCTATTCCTTGTTCCTTTTATGGCTTACAGAAATTGTTTTTTTTTTTGTTAGTGCTTCTATCTCATTTATCAGTGTATATGAATGATTTGAATTCGGCAAGATTCGATTGTATAAATGAAATATATCAATGTTTGTTGACTTGTCACACACTTTCTATTTCTTTACTTGCCACTGAAATTATGTTGTGTCGCATTGATTTATCTCTTTCAATTGAGCATTTACCAGGACTGACAAATAAATGCTTTTCGCATGTGATATTACAATATGATGGTATCACATAAGGAAGGGAAACATTGGGCACACATTGTGGATATGGTGGAGAGGTCTCTCCCAGGAAGAAGAAGAAGGGTGGGGAATAACAAGGCAAGAATTTGGATGTAAATGAATGTGACATTTTCATGTTTGAAAAATATAATTAGTGAATTTTGCCATCAAACATGTTGAAGTTTTATTTAATAGATGAGAGCATTATGAAAAATAAATTTCACTATTCTTACTTTTAGTTTGTCATCTAAAATCAGAGCTATTGACAATATTGAAGAGACTCAAATAAAAAGAAAAGAAACTTTTTGATGAGATTTAACACTTTTTGCTAAATTATATCTGCAATTTGGTAATTTTAATAGTGTTATTAAAAAATTTGGTCTAAATAAAGTCTAAGAACATAAATAATCACAGATTTATTAAAATTTATTCCTTTGTTTTTAGTGCATGTCACTTAACGCTCTTGAAGAGTCAAATTCTTATAATAACCGTGTTTGTGTGGTTGTATGTGTAGAGGTGTAGGTGGGTTTTTTTTTTTTTTTTTTTTTTTTTTTTATAAATGTTGGTTAGCATGCAAATTGAAAGAAAGGTACATGGGAAGTGAGAGCACCGGACATGGTGAATATGATTGACAGGGATACCCGAAAAGATATCAACAGGATACATGTCCCTTCAATGATATTTATTTGCAGTGTCGAAGGAAAAAGTATTTATGAAAGAAACATACTTAATTAGATTAATTAAAGTAGCTAAATGGTTTTATTTAATAATATTATAATTTAAAAATTTTATTTCAAAAACATATTATTAAAAAGTATAATTATTAATTATATTTAACCACACTACTAACGTATTATTTTCTATTTGGTATCTAGAAAAAACAACAAAATAGAAAAGAGAATTTTTTTTTGGTATGTTCCTGGAATATCACCGCATACGCAGGATTCGAACCCCTGACTTTGCTTAAGCGTGGATTAACCCCTACCGCTGAACACGTTTGGGGGCGCGAAAAAATTAAAAAGTGTGGATTTCAAATTTTTTTTATTTCTTCATAAAATCAGTGTGAAAATAAAATAAAATAAATGTGAGAAATCAATTTATAATTGATTAAAATATTACTCTCAATCAATTAAATTGCTATTTTATACAAAAATAATTAAAAATTTATTTAATCGATTGAATGAAAATTTTAATCGATTAACTTTTACATAATATTGTAACTATAAAAAGTTGAAACTTTCAATTATATGCCTGTGTTAATCGATTGAAAGTTGAAACTTTTATATAATTTTTTAATTATTTATATACTTCAAATTTATTATTTTACTTAATTTTTAATCTAAAAGGAATTTTATTTTGGAATTACTTGCTTATATATATTTTATTTAATTGATTAAAAAAAAAAGAAAGTAATCAAAAATTCATTTTAAAAATACTTTTTTTAATATATTTTTACTCTTTTTTATTTTTTATTTCTCTTTTCTCTTTTTTATATACATTATATCTCATATATTTCTTTTCATCTTACTAAACATATATAATATTATTTATGTTACATTTCTTTCTAATTTTTCTTAAACCATGTATACAAATTTTTATTCTATTTTATTCTAATTTTATTCACTTATTTTTCTCCTTACATGTTTATCATATATTTCTTTCTTTGCAACTAAACATCTTAAGGAATATTTTTTTTCAATCAATGGGCATGATTTATATTATTAGTAGACCAATAAATACATCAACTTTGATATAAAAAAAAAAAAAAAAACTTTAGTGAACAAGAGGATACAAATTTTTTTTACCAATTAATACATTTAAAGTAAACTTGTGTTTCTTATAATTAAGACGAAAATAATAGTCTCATTTGTCTCTTATGTGTATATGTATGCGTGGAGGTCATATTAAGCTCTTTCTCTGATATAGAATGTATAATATTTAAAAATCGTCTAATATTTATGTTTTATATGAATATTAAGATGGATTATCATTATAGATGGTTTAGCATATACCACAATAATGACTATTAAAAATATGAGGAAGGTTAATAAATAAACATCGAAAAAAGAAATATTTTAATAAGTCATGAGTAAACTAACAGAATAGAAATCCATAAAAATGAGAGGCTTTAGAGTTCACGTTCAAACTCAAGCTTTGACCTTCTGGTTGGGCTTGAAGACATACTTAATGAGCGAATCCTTGATAGAAAGCAGTTCCGGAAATTCCTTCTTCAACTTGTGGGCGTCAAGCTCATTGTTGCTCCGGGGAGCAACGATCACCTTGGCCTGCTCCTCAAGAGTGAAGTTCCTCCACGTGAAATCGGGATCCACGTATTCTCTGTACATGTCCAAAATCTCGTTGTGACTGACGACTCCAGGGTTGGTGAAGTTCCAGATCCCAGTGAGGTTCCTCTTGGCCATCTCGATGGAGATGGGAAGAAGCTCGTCCAATATGGTCATGGAATTGGGAATGTTGACAACCTTGTCGTATCGAGTAATCTTGGTGATGAAATTGCGGGGGTTGGATAAATCGGAGGAGATAGGCATCCTGACACGCAAGGTGCAGACGTTATCGTAGTTGCGGAGCAGATCCTCTACCTGCGGAAACAAGGTAATTAATATGAAGCGCAATTGAGAGATCTAAATTGAGTTATATTATATACCATGGCTTTGGTCTTGGAGTAGAAGGAGCCCGTGAAATTGGGAGCGTCG